GAACTATTATGTTCGTGCGTTTCTCATATATCAAATGGTAAAGGAATTCATTATTTAACATACTTTTTCATCATAAGAAAACAGTATAAAAGAGTCGATAATCATTAATTAATGGGTAAAAAGTACTTTATTTATATTTTGATCTTCATAAAATTCACAACTAACTAAATTACCTAAAATTCAAAATCCTCACTGGCGACTGTGGAATTCACTTCCCATTCCGCTCCTATTTAACTTTCTTATTCTTTCTTTTCTTACTTCTTATTTCTTTCTAATATTTTATATTATGTGTTATCTTTTATGTACTATCTTTTATGTACTATCTTTTATGTACTATCTTTTATATGCTATCTTTCTAATATACTATTTTTAATATGCTATTTTATATACTATTATCTTTTCTATCTTTCAAATATTACATCGTAAAGAAATAATTTATAACCCATCTTTTGTGGCTGTGCTATCTTTTCTTTAAAATAACATAATCTTTCGAATATTATATCGTAAAGAAATAATCCATCTTTTGTGGCTGTGCTGTCTTTCTGTATCATCTTTTCATATTATCTTTCATATTATCTTTTGTATCATCTTTTATATTATCTTTTGTTTTTCAATATTTCATGTATTTTCATTAAATTCGATTTTAATTCGCTATCGTCCCATTTTATACGTTATTCCTATAATCTATCTTTTGTGGCTTATAGTTCTTCCTTCTAATTATTCCTGTTGATGAACTTGATAAACTGGTTGCTAAGCCGCATCGATTAACCCCCTGATTGATTTATTGGTTCGTCGTTAAACATTACATCATGTAGATCATTCCTTCTCCTAAACATTTATCCTTTCTGGCTAATTATTTATCCGATCATGTGACTTTCTACCATGTAATCTTCTATTCGATATATCATTTATCTATTCCATTAAGTTCGATACTCATGGTTACAACGTGTATTATTAAGTTCTTGTCTAAGATATTCTTCACGGTTATGTGCATCATCTAACAAACCTTCAAGTCTATCCTCCATATTATCTTGATCTTCTATAATATTTCGCAACTCATTAGCATATCGAATAATGGCATTAAGACTATCATTTGCAGTATTAAATAAATGATTTATATGAGGGTGTGCTGCTATAATTGTACGATCAAGGTGAATACGAATACCAGCTACACTATTTGCTATAGTTGTCTGATTATTTAAGATTTCTGTAATAGGGTCAGAAGGAATTGCTGCCATATTTTTCCGTTGTCTATTAGCAAGTTCTTTTATTTGATCTTTGAGTTGAATATTTAGAGTATCAACTTCAATCAGCTGACGTTCTAATGCTTGAAGTCCTTCTTCCTTTAGTGATGCCATTTCTAAAGCTTTCTTAAGCTTCACACGCAACTTAGCATTTTTTTGCCTAAGTTCTTCTATCTCAGATTCATAACCTTCGATTACGCCATACAGGTATTTTATATATTGCTCTTGTGATTGCAATGTATATGCAAACTTTGTAATCTGTGTCTTTAACAATGTATCTTCCATTGCCAGTTCCACAGATTTTTATAGACCCTACATTTAATAAACAAATCGAACAAAATTATACCCTTCAACGAATTTATTACCATCCATGTGGATATTATCGTACTTCTGAAAAACTTTGGGCTAAAGTGCAAGCTGAGGGTCATGATTTTAACATATCTGATATTACAAAATAGTTGCATAAACAGGCTATATGGCAAATATACTCATCTGTACCCAAGTATATTCCACAGGTTTCTTTTAATAAGATTACTCGACCAAATATGTATCATCAAGCGGATATCTTATATATGCCCTATGATACTGTAGATAGAAAGCCGTACAAATACTGTCTGAATATTGTAGATGTTGCTAGCCAATATAAAGCTTCAGTACCTCTAGAAGATCGCAGCTCTGCACGTTTTGCTAAGGCATTTAAAAAGATTTATAGTAAAGCAGACTGCCCACTTATTTGGCCAAGAGTTTTACAAGTAGATAGGGTCAGAATTTAAGGATGAAGTTATCTGATTAATGGATGAAAAAGGTGTGCGTATTCGGGTGGGTACTACTTATAAGAGTCAGGCTATTGTTGAACGGTATAATCGAACTTTAGCAGAGAGGCTATTTAAAATACAGGATGCAAAAGAACTCCTTACAGAAGGTGTGAATACTGCCTAGGTTAAGAACCTTTCTGATATTGTGAATGAGTTAAGCAATTCTAATACTCGACTGCTAGGTATGTCTCCAGTTGAGGCAATCCAGAAAGATCAAGTATATGCACTACCTTCAAAGATTCGGAATGATAGACCTGTAGGTGCAGAAGAAATACGTTTACCAGCAGGTTCTCTTGTGAAATACTTACTTGATAGCTTAGATTACCAAGGTAGGAGACGTGCAACTGATCCAATATGGTCTACTAAAGTTTATACAATTGAATCTTCCACAGTTGTTGATGGGCAGCCGGTTATATATAGGTTATCTGATGGACCTAAAAAAATATTTACTCAAGAAGAATTATTAGTTGTGCCATCTGATACTATGCTGCCTTCTACTCATATATTATATTAATTTTCAAGTTGTGGTATCCTATAGTTACCATATGCATACATTGTGATATTATTTTGCGCAATCCATTTTTTATCATCCATAAGGAATAACCCCACCTTTGAAATTTTTATAATATCTATGGCATGTCTATCAGATTAGATTGCTCTAAAGGTGACTGTATCATTATATTTAGGATCGAAGAGTGCCTTATTATACCACTCATAGTGGAACTCTTTTTTAACTACCTTTGAGGGGACACCTTTAGCCTTACGGATACCATATTTCAGATTGGTAGTCTCATCCCCTACCTTGAGAATGGAGTACATTTTAGGACGGAGGCCAATAAATTCTGCTATAACTGCTCCATTACATTCATCCTTAAATTTTCCTGGGATTTTCATAATTATGTCAGTCTTGTCACCTAATACTTTTCGTACAGGATGATCTTTAGGATAATCACTGAAGTCGAATTGATCTGCCATATATATGAGGTCTGCATTGATATCTTCAGTTTGGATTTGTACGAGAAGTGAGTCTGTGTCTGTATAACATAACTGGATTTTTTCACCATATCATACTTTAAGACGGAGTATCATAGTAGAATTGATACATACAGAGCTTTGAGAGGTCAAGCACACTCATACCCACATATGTTGGACAGTTAAGCATTACCTCCACTTTTCGTAGGTAGATTGCGACAAGATTTTCTGAGAATATTTTATGACCTTTAAATGCAGGATCTGAGGTAAGCTTTTTATATTTCTTGGGATGGGTTTGGGGTTGTACTACTGAGACACGTACACGTTTCCTGAGATTTTCCATAGTTTTACCAAATACACTATTATTCATGAGTTCATAGAAGTCCTTCTCAAAATCATTCTTAGTCTTAGCATGTTTGGCGGTGTTAAATTCTATATATGGTTTCATCCATGGAGCCTGCTCGAATTTTATAGCTTCATAGACCTTCTTGATTACTAAACTCTGGCTAATATAATACTGGAGATTTCTATAATGAACTACATATTCATCCTTATAGAATAGGTTAGGGATGAGCTTATCCGTGGGTGTGTATCGTTATCCTGAGCGTGCTATTATTTCCTGCTGCTTTTTACTAAGCTATTCCTTCTTGACCTTCATTCGTTCTGATGCAAGAGGGTAATCTGTGTGTTGTGAATGGAGGGCTTGGAAATATTCCAGTTTAACTTTAAGGATATATTCTTCAGAAGAATCGTCTGGTATTTCATTACTCTCTATTTGTTTTTGAATGTTAAATAATATAGCTCATGATAATTTGTTTGTATAGTATATAAACTTAATAACAATAAAGCATATATAAATCATTAAAAAAAAAAAAAAAAAAAAAAAATATTGAAATAAGATCAAAATGATAATTAAAATGATATCAAAATGACATCTATAAGTTAAACTTAAATATGTTATTTTGATGTCATTTCTATTATTATTTTAACATCATTTTGAATAATGATGTAGTTGGCCAAAAAATTCAGCTGAAAGCGCAGTAAATTTTTGGCTAACAACACCCAGCCGAAAAAAATTCATGTTGATTTAGAATATTTTATTAGTTCAACATCTAACTATTTTTGGCTGAATATTTTTGGCTAAATACATTTTTTTTAAATAATAGTGTAGTTAGTTAAAATATCCAAACAGCAATCAATATGAAATAACGACAAAATTTTATTTATTATAGAAAACAAGAAGTACATGATATTACTTTTGGACAGTGTATTATTATTTTTTATTAAATAAAACTACAAAATATTTGTTATTTTAACTCATTTATTTCTGTCCAATCATACTTTAATTTTAGATTTTTAGTAATTTAATTGTAAAAAAGAAACATTTTTAATATTTAATTGTTCTTTAAATTAATGAATAATTTATTTAACTATTAAAACTACCGTATATCGCGGGCCACAGTACCCCCCCTATGCACAGTACCCTTTAAAAAAATTTATCGGAATTTTAAAGTACCTGGATACTTTACATAGAAATCTTCAATTTAAAATCTTAGAATTTGTAAAATACCCGGGGTATAAATCCCGGATACAACTTTATTTATTAAAACGGAGTATTATTTATTAGTTATTCATTATTGTAATACAAATATATTTATAGTAATATACTCCTTAATCGATTCTTTATTTCTAATTATATGCAAGTTTAATAATTAGCAATTTTATTTGATAAAATGGAATAAAATAATATAAAAAAATTTACCTTATATACTTTTTTTAATTCGCTTAGTCTATAACGCATTTCTCCATGATCATCAGAATCTTGGTAATCATAATTACCATCATCTTCCTCTTTCTCACTTTCACTTTTGTCATTATCTTCTTTCCGACCAACTTCAACAACAACTTTAACGTCCCATTTATTCTCGTAGTTAGTTTCTTCGGGATATTCTTCTTCATAATTTTCATCGGTTGAGTTATCAAAATTTTCTAACACTTCGTTATCTCTATTCAATAAACTATCATGATCAAAAATACAATCATCTTCTGAACCATCAATATTTGTCGAAACTCCACAACTTTTAAAGGATCTTTGAATAAGATTTTCATCAACTTCATCCCATGACTCTTTAACCCATGTTGCGACTGTTGAATAAGAAGGTCTTTTAATCTTTCCCGCTGGAGTAAAAGTATGAATATTTGATATCATCCAATTATTATACCGATCTTTAACCTATAATTTCACTAATATTAGTAACTAATAAGAATAAAATTGAAGTAAAAAGATCAAATAATTACCTTAGATTTAAAACTCTTATTAATTGCAACGTCTAATGGTTGCAATTTGGATGTA